CGGAGCCTCGCTCAGACTCAGCACCTGGAGCGGCGAACAGCTCCGCGCTTCATTCCTCTGGCCCCGCCTCCCCCGCGCCTCCGTAGCCAATGGCGATCCGGGCTCCGCCCAGGAGGCTGCCCATTGGGGGCGTCGTCCCCCGCGGTCGGCCCCGCCCGCCGGTTCCTGGGCCTCTTCTGTCAAGACCACAACCCCCAGAGACCGCCGGAGTTTACGCACAGCCTTCTGGGACTTGTAGTCCTTTAAGGACGCGGAGTGGGCTCATGCCGCGGACAGGCGAGGAGAGATGGACTGCATTTCCCAGGGTGCATTGAAGAAATGGAGTCGCAGAGGAGGGTGGGAGGACTGTTTCCATAGCAAAGACGGCAGGAGGGGGATGGCTGGTGGAGAAATGGGGCAGGCCGCAGGACCTCCGAAGGATCGTGCGAGACCTCGGGCAGCCTCTTGGGAGGCCATTTCGAGTTTCTTTTTCTCCTCTATTTCTACCTTGGGACCCTGGGTCTCAGTTTTCCCATCTGGAAAGAGGGGCGAGGAACCGTCCCCATGACCACACCCGGCGGTGATGGGGCAAACCGAGGGCGAGCCGCTTTGGTTGCTGCCCAGCAAAGGTGAGGGAGGACGGAGGAGACTCTCCCACCGCATTCAGAACTTTATTCCTTTGTTTTGTCTCGATCTTGTCATAGAGGAACCTTTTACTTTTGGTTACCCCTTGGGCCACCAAAGCCTTCTCATCTCATCTTCCCATCCCAGGTCCGGCCTCCTTCACACCACCCCAGATACTGCAGCATCTCCCCAAGCGCAGCAGACAGAGGGCGCTTCTCATGCTTAAAAGCCTCCATAGGCTTCTCATTGCCCCCGGAATTAAGCCCACACTTAGCATGGCCCGGAAAGGCCCTTTGGGAGCTGGACTCCACCTTCTTCTTGCAACACTCTGAACTTCTTTGGAAGCTGGGAAGCCTCCCACTCCCCTGGGCCCCTCTACCCTCCCCTCAGCTAACTCTTCAGTACCCTTTAAGCCCAGCCTAGACACGGCCTGTTTTGTGAAGACTTCCTAGATGCCCAGCTCTGTGTTAGGTGCCCCACCTTGTGTTTGAGCAGCACCCTCTACTTCCCCTATTCTGCTTGCATGTTTATATACCCATCTTCTTCATTAGATTAGAAGATCCACAGAGTAGGGGCCAGGTCTATATTATTCATACTTACAACCCAGTGCCTATAGTGTCTGGTACATAGTAGGCTCTCAATAGATGCCGAGATACCAATATTTGTTGAATTTCATTTAATTGAACCTCACTTGCATCCAAAATCCTAATTTCTTAAGGTTGGATATTTCCCATTGCTGGAGGTGTTCAGCTAGAAAGATGTTAATGTGATCTGTACAGTGGGCTGAGATTTTACTTGAACGCTTTGAGGGCTCTTCCAGTCCTATGAAGCTAGGGGTTGATAGATTCGTGCCTATTATTTCTGTCAATTTTCTCCGAAATGTCATCAGTTCTTCATGTTCCTCTATTTCTAGCTGTTGGCCCTACTCCTTCCTGTGCCTAAATACCCTACCTCCCACTCCCTTTCTGGGAAAGATCTTCTGCCCCTGTCAGTTATGAAGCAGAGACAGCCTAAGATTTCTGCCCTTCATTCAACCCTCTTCTCAGCATCTTAGGCTCTGCCCTCTCCTGGTCTGTCCCACCTTGCTAGGTAGCATCTTTCATGAATCTTACCCTACTAAATGTTTTGTTATTGACTAGATGATCTACTTAATCCACATATGTTTCATTTGTCACCCGTCACAACGTCTGTTTTGGGTGTATGTCAGCTAAGGCATTCTTGGGAGAATGCCTTAATAAATGGGAATAATTAATTCATGGCCCAAAAGGAAGTAAGCAGAGATACTATTACTCAGAACCTAATGCAAACCAGAGAGACAGAGCCTGAGAGAAAGCAACCCTGTCATCTTTGAGTTGATGACATCCAAGGAGGGAAGGCTAGGATGGGAGAATGAATAAAACAGATGGCATTTAGGGAAGAACCAACAGGACTTTTAAGAGGCATGGCAGAGGGGCTTTGATCCTTGCTAAACCATGAGGGAATGCCATTGGAGCTGGGTGAACAGATGGGGCCTCATTACTGAAGATAAGAAACTGTAAGGAGGCAGGGGAGATGGGATGTATACTAAACAGAGTGCCTCATTCTGTGGATGCAGTGAGAGCAGAGGCTATTGGAAAAGTGACTTGAGGAGAAGTATGCCACCAGGTGGGCATCAGCAGAGCATCAGATAAGTATGGCAAGAGGCTACCAAAAAAGCCCACCTGAAGCCAGAGGTGAAACCCTTTGGAAGTCAGTTTAACCCTTCAGAAATAGTGCTGACAAAAACAATAAACTTTGGAAGCCTATGGAGGGCTTGACAAAAACAATAAACTTTTTCTCATATGAATCAGGCCCTGTATCTCATTTAATCCTTATAACTATGAGGAACAGATATTTCCATTTCACAAATAAGAAAATTACATAAAATGGCAACTGCCCTGCCAGGTAGAGTCAGGAAACCTGGGTTCAAATCCTGACTTTGCCCCTGATTAAATGTGTGATTAGATGAGTGACATTTCTTCAAGGGGATGCCACTCCTAGAAGAAATGTTCAAAGTCAGGGTTCCACAATGACCCTGGGCTGCGGCTATTCTTCTGTTGTCAAATGCTGTTCGTTGGTGTTAAGGAGCAGCTAAAAAGGGTGGAGGTGGAGAAATGCAAACCTATTTACTATCTGTGTGACTGTGCACAAACGACCTTCTTGAATCTGCAGTTTACTTATTTGAAAATGTTGTAAGGAATAAATGTGATGCTTTATGTAAAGTACCTCATAAATATTAAGCACTTGCCAAATGTTAGTCTGTTTCCACATTTTTCATCTTGGATTACCAGAAATTGGTTTTCCTATGAATAAACAGGCAGGAGGTAATGTCTCATGTAACCTGATTTGAATCCCCATTCCCTCTCTTACTAATTGTATGATTTTAGTTAAGTTATTTAATATCTTTCTGGGTCTCAGTTTTCTCATTTGTGAAATGGAAATGATGTGTTTCTCATAGTTGTGAGGATTAAATGAGACAAAGGGCCAGACTCATATGATAAAATGTTCGATATATTTGTTTTCTCATTTTTAAGGGTTGGTTTTAGGGCACAGAACCCTAAAGGAATGAATGGAATTCTGGGTGCTTAGAAGCTAGAGTTGTGAAGAGTTCCAGGGGAACATTGTGCTAGCCTCCTGCCTTCTTAGAGAGGAACAAAAGGTCTTGGTGAAGTTCCATAGGTCTTCTAATTAAGATTAACTAGAAAGCTGAATCTCAGACACTAAGGGGTTGGAGTGACTGATGAGAGCTGGGTCCTGAAGAGCCTATTATATACTGAGGATATACCGTTATTCTAAAGATAATGAAGGCGTTTAAGGAGATATGCATTTTGAAGAGGTCTAGGGACTTTGTGGAGAATGGCCAAGGGAAAATGAGGCTGGGTTGTAAATCTGGAAGTTGCAGCAGTGATCCAGCACAGCAGGTGGAAAAGAGGGGGTGGATCTGAGAGATATTAAGGAAATAAATATTCCAAGGACTTTGTGAGTGATGAACTGAGGGCGTGGAGGAGAGTGCCAGGTCAAAGATGATGCTCAGGTTTCTGCCTTGGTTAACTAGGTGGATAGACGGTGGTGCTCTCCCCTGAGATGTGGAATAGTAAAGGAGTGGGTTTAAGCAGGAAGAGGAGGTGGTGAGTTTGAATGAGTCTGGTATGTCCAGATGAGATGTTTAGGAGGTGGTTTGGAGCTTATTAGAGATATCTGGTTAGGAGATAGAGTCATATGTTATCAAATTATCAGCATATAGATGATAAGTGAATCCATGGGAGTGAATGAAATCCTTCAGTAAAGAGGGTCAACAAAATAACCAAATTCCTTCAGAAATATCAACATTTAGGGGACAAGTAGAGGAAGAGGAACCCAGAATAAAAGGTGAGAACATTCAGAGAGATTGGAGGAAAATCATAAATTGGTATGTCACAGAAGCCAAGGGAGGAAGTGGAGTAGCATAGTGCAGAAAAGCCAATGTCTGAAAGGTACCAAAGGTAGCAATAAAGATGTCACCGGTGGCCTTTGAGAGAGTGGGTTCAGGGGAGTAGAAGGAACAGAAGTCTGAGTGAATGGGAGTAGATGTAGACAACTCTGGGGAATGAATGGGGTGGAGAGAGAGAACCAGAAGGACTGTAGAGTGCGGAAAAATTTGGTTTTGAGTTGGGAAGAGATTAGGACATTTAAAAATAATAATGGGAAGAAGCCAGTAGAGAGAAAGTTGAAGATAAAGGAGAAAGAAGGACAGAAGGATGGGATGAGGTCAGCAAAAGAATGGGAGGTAGTGGGGTTCAGGGTGAGCCTCAGCAGGAGGAGAACCCACTTTCCCTCTAAGGTAGAAGAGGAAGGGGAGGGGGAGTTGGAGACGTAGGTACCTATGTAGGTAGTAGGGAGTGAACTCAGGAAATTGAGGGTGTTCACATCCTGTGGCTATTGCTTCTCCGCTGATGATGAATCAAGGATATGTGCTTAGTGTGAGGAATGTGGCAGGGTGGGAAAATTGGGGGAAGAGAAAAAGGTTCAAGGTGGCTGTGTGGAAAAGAGGAGAGAAAGCCAGTAGTGACCCCACAGAGGTTGCAGGGCAGTGGTGAGGGCCTGCTGAGGTTGGAGAACATGGGTGTGGGGGATGCAATTCTGTGGGGTTGTGGGCTTTCTCCAGCATCCCAACAGCCCTGAGACAGGCATGCAGAA